ACCAAATAAATGAAGTACATACATACATACATAAACCTGTCACCTAAATAGGTAGGCAGAGACTATGGACTTCCATTTGGCTTGTCCTGAACTACCTCACTTGCATCTTTTACATCCATATACCTATGCATACATGCTCATTGGTAAAGGATACTCTTAATCTCATTAGCTGCTCATGAAAGGCTGGCCCGCCAACTAGCGAAAAATGGCAGGCCATCTTGCCGGTTAGTGACCTGGCGAGAAGACCCAATGGCGATCTCTGGGGTGGTTCGGCCGTCCCTGCTGTCTTCAGATCAAGTTCCCTTAGAGGTGCAGTAACTCTGGTAGTATCATTTGGTTGCTAATGCAAAGCCTCGTTCAACTGCCACTCTCCATCCTTAGTCACTCTTAACTCTTAATATGTATATTAAAGAGAAAAGTATGGCTAAACAGCGGTTCCAAGTCCTCTCATTGAAAGTCCACCTCACTAATATTTGAAGATTGCACTCCTAATCTCAGTGCTGTCCATCACCATCTTGAGACTGAGAAGCCGCACCTACTTTTCTTGATGAAACCCAAATTGGATGTACATTGAATGCGGTGTACCTAGATTATCCTGGATTCTCTCTGGAGTACAAATTCCATCTATGTGCCGGAGTCTGTGTGTATGTCCGTAATGACATCTGCTTCCAGCGTCTCCGTCACCTTGAACACCCCTGTATCTATTGATCGCATATCAGTGACCAGGAGACAACACAATTTTTTGATCACCAAAGTGAGGCTGCTGATGTGGCCGTAAATCGGTATCCTTCTGCACAGCTGGTCTTTCTGGGGGAATTTAACGCCTAACGACTTTAACACCAAGACTGGCTGTTCCCTTACCAGAACACCCACCAAGCTTGAAGAGAAGCATGGAATTTTGCCTTGATGCCAGGTCTTTCTCATCTGGTAAAGGAAGTGGCTAGGGTACCCGATCGACCCGCCGCAGAAGAACACAAAAACTCTCCGATCACACTCTTAATCTCATGGCTGTTAGACGGGAGATGAAGCTACATTCTTCAACAGATTTGACAGCATACAGGCAACTGAACAGACAGATCTCCAAATGCATGCGGCGGGACTTACGCAACTTCAATACAGCTCGTATTGAAGAAGCGATCGAGCGGAACCAAGGCTCCAAAGTCTTTGCCAGAGATCTGTCTGCCAGAAAGCGCCAATTGTCAAAGCTGAAGACAGAATGTGGCAGCATCGTTTCCGGGGCACCTGAGATTTTGAGTGAGATTGAGAGGTTCTATGGGCAGCTGTACACGTCATCGTTGGAGCCGCACGCAAGTGTGAGTAACGATCCAAGAGCGAGTCTTATCCGACATTATTCCGATGATATCCCGGACGTCAGTCTGAGCGAGATTAGAATGGCTGTCCAGCACCTTAAAAACGGCAAGGCCCCAGGCGAGGATGGAATTACAGCGGAGCTTCTGAAAGCGGGTGGAAAACCGGTACTTGAAGTCCTTCAGAAGCTCTTTAATTCCGTCCTCCATGGTGGCATTACACCGGAGGCGTGGAGCAGAAGTGCGGTGGTCTTGTTCTTCAAGAAAGGCGACAACGCTCTCTTGAAGAACTACAGACCGATTTCCCTTCTGAGCCGCGTCTACGTGCTGTTTTCGAGAGTCATTACGAATCGTCTCGCGCGCAGACTTGACGACTTCCAGCCTCCCGAACAAGCCGGTTTCCGAAAAGGCTTTAGCACCATAGACCACATACATACCCTTCGGCAAATTGTACAGAAGTCCAAGGAGTACAATTTGCCACTATGTCTGGCGTATGTGGACTATGAGAAAGCCTTTGATTCCGTCGAAATTTGGGCGGTGCTGCAGTTCCTTCAGCGATGCCAAGTTGACTGTCGGTATATCGAAGTATTGAAGTGCTTGTACAGTAGGGCTACGATGGCTATCCGAGTACAGAACCAGAGTACGAAACCTATCCAATTGCAGAGAGGTGTAAGACAGGGTGACGTCATGTCCCCGAAACTCTTTACCGCTGCATTGGAAGATGTTTTCAAGCTTCTGGACTGGAAAGGATACGGTATCAACATCAATGGCGAGTACATCACTCACCTTCGATTTGCCGACGATATAGTCCTTATGGCAGAATCGCTGGAGGACCTAAGCACTATGCTCAATGACCTCAATAGTGTTTCCCAACGGATAGGTCTTAAGATGAACATGGACAAAACAAAGATCATGTTTAATGTCCATGTCACTCCTATGCCGGTAGTTGTTGGGAACACTAAGCTCGAAGTTGTTGACGAGTATGTTTACCTGGGACAAATAGTCCGACTAGGTAAGTCCAACTTCGACCGAGAGGTCAATCGACGAATTCAACTCGGTTGGGCAGCGTGCGGGAAATTACGGCACATCTTCTCGTCAGGTATACCTCAAAACTTGAAAACGAGACTGTACACCCAGTGCGTGTTGCCAGTGATGACATACGGAACTGAGACGTGGTCCTTCACTGCTGGCCGGATGAGGAAGCTCAAGGTCGCTCAGCGAGCTATGGAGAGGGCTATGCTCGGAGTTTCTCTGCGTGATAAACTCAGAAATGAGGATATCCGCAGTAGAACTAGAGTGACCGACATAGCCCAACGGATTAGTAAGCTGAAGTGGCAATGGGCCGGCCATATAGCTCGAAGAACCGACAACCGATGGGGAAGAAAGGTTCTCGAGTGGCAGCCTCGTACCGGCAGGCGAAGTGTAGGGCGTCCCCCCACTAGATGGAGTGACGACCTGGTAAGATATGCAGGAAGTCGATGGATGCAGGTGGCTCAGGACCGTGCTTTGTGGCATTCTTTGGGGGAGGCCTATGTTCAGCAGTGGACTTGTGAAGGGCTGTAATGACCACTGTCTGGTGAAAACTGTATCGTCATAATCTCCACCTGATTACGAGTCCCAAGATATTCGACGAATATGGTGGTATAAGCCAACTGATTGGGATAAGATGCAACACTTTTTTGCATTCTATCCTTGGCAGGAGGTCTGTTTCACTCGAACGTCGCACTGCGCGGATGCGATAACCGATGTGTTGTGTCAAGCTATTGAGTATTTCTTTCTCTGACGTTCCCACCGGTAACAAAGCTCGCCCATGGTTTAACGCTGAATGCGCCCGCTGAAAAGCGCAAGCGTTTAGCGAACATGTCCTTGGTTGATGCTTGAAACCGCAAAGCTCCGGATGTTAGCTCCAAGGAGAGAACTTTCAACCAGGCTGCCAACTCCTACAAAAAGTATTACGGAAAGCTAGTGGCGATCGCATTAAACATATTGGCGCAAAACTCTCTGCCAGACCATCCGGCACTAGAGCTTTATGGTCTCTTGCCAAAGCGGTCAAGGCAAAGCTTTGTCAGCCTACACTGACTCCGCACTCCGATCGTTCGCGTACTGTGAAATTTACAGCTGCCACGGCTAAAGACTACTAAACAACTTCTAACCAAACCCTAACTGCTAATCAAATTCTAAAATGACTTCTATTAGTTCAGGCTTATTCTAGGCAGCCTTCTTAAGTGTGTGCAAGTTGGCATGCATTTCTAGGGAGAAAGGTCCATCTTCCCAAAATATTTACATATTATAAAGTATTAAATAAAACATAATAAATGAAAGTGAACGCAAGTAAGACGAAAGTTTGGTTTTTGAAAGAGAAGTAAAACGATATGTGAAATAAGAATAGAAGGGGAGTTGGTTGAGCAAGTAGATGAGTGTGTGTTTGGGATGTGTATGTAGCAGGGATGGTAGATATGATAAGGATACAGAATGACAAGTGAATGCAGGAAATAGAGTAAATGGGGCTCTACACTCTATTGTGGAAAGTCAGAATTTGTATAAACAGGCATGTATGGCAATTCACAATGATGTGTTATTCCCTACTTTAATGTATGGTAGTGAAAGTTGGGTGCGGCATAAGTAGCACGAGAATAGAATAAATGTTGTAGAAATGTGATCATTAAGGAGTATTTTAGGGCTGAATCTGAACGACAGGGTGAGAAATTGTGTGATAAGAGAAGAGTGTGGTTTGCAAGATGATTTTGTGACCAGGATTAAGAAAGGAATGCTTCGGTGGTTTGTTCTTCTTCTTCCTTCATTTATTACGATGAATTCACCAATGACATGTTACATGTGAGAAGGTTTAATTGGGACACAAACTCTGCTTAAAAAAGGAAATTGATAATAGAAGAAATGGTAACAAACAAATATTATGTGAATGATTTTGGTCAACTTAACTGCTGAATCACCTAAAACAAAAGACAGACAATGTTGTTAGAACAATACAAATGTGTTATTATATGACAAACAAATTATAGTTTAATGTTGTTAGAGTTAATAAAATCACATAAAATATATACAAAAGAGGTATTTGTGAAGACTAGAAGGGAGTTAAAGTCTATGGGACGAGGGATGTCAGGGGGCAGATAATCATAAAGAGATGATGACAATTTGGTGCAGTTAAAAAAATATGATTAGTGTTTCCCTCATCTAAGCCACATTCGCACAGAGAACTATCCCTAATCCTGAGTTTAGCAAGGTGAACATAGGTACAGGCATCTCCAATTCTCAACCGGCAGACAATAGAGGTGGCACATTTGTTTGCTTTATTAAATATGAAAAACCAAGGTCTTGATGGAATATTATCTTGTATAGCAGCATAGTGCTTGCCTTTTAGTATTTGTGATGCTTTCCATATCTCATTCGGTGGTTTGTTCATGTAGAAAAAATGAATGAGGAAAGTGACAAAGCAAATTTATGTTGCAGAGGTGAACGGCAGTCGAGAAGGGACGCCCTAGGCGAAAGTTTATCGACTAAATTGGCGATATATTGGAACTGGGCCAAATTAAGGGTACTCTTAACCGACGAGCGTGTATGCATAAGTATATGGATGTAAAGGAGGCGAGAGATGTGTGTCAGGATAGTGCCAAATGTCTCTGCCTACACCCTTGAGTGTTTATGTAAATAAAACAGTATTGAAAAATGTTTCAGGTAAAGGTCATGAGAGAGAGGACTTAGATTTAGTGTTAAAGAAGTTAGAACATTGGGCTTACAGACTGTATCCTAAGTTTCAATTTGAAGATTGTTTAAAGAAGATTGAGACACTTGGCAAAAAGCGGCCAGTAATGGTAATAAATCCTATAATTAAAGTTACTGGTTACAGCCTATATATGTATTATGTCCCAAGGCACCGATCTCTTTTCAGAAATGAAGCAGTTAGTCTGAGTCGCCGCCCGCTGCTATATTTTGTTTTGTTTAAATTTATTATTTTATTTATAAATTTTATATTTTTGTATTACCAAGGCACCAATCTCTTTTCAGAAATGAAGCAATTAGTCCGAGTCGCCGCCCGCTACTATATTTTGTTTTGTTTATATTTATTATTTTATTTATAGATTTTATATTTTTGTATTTTATATCTTTTTAATGGCTTAAAGTAGATATTTTAATAGTCTTTCTGATCTCACTTCATTCTGTCTTCATACAATTATTAATTGTAGTTGCATGAAAATAGAAAGTTTATAATACCATCTACACTATCATTTCACACGATGTCAATCTTCGCATTGCGGTAGTGTTTATTAGCCATAATTCCACATATATTAGATTAATTAAAGTATTTTTAACAAATATAAGTTAAGGATAATAAAAAATAATTAAAAATTAAAAATTTTGTACAGCAGACTTCAATATAAATTATTAAGAATAACTCAAAAACTGTTGGTTTGACCTTGATCAAATTCATATGGGACCACATGTGAAGTACCAGCTTTCAAATAAAAAGAGAATCATCGAAATCGGTTCACCCAGTAAAAAGTTATGAGGTAACACACATTAAAAAAAAAACATACAGTCAAATTGAGTACCGTCTCCTTTTTGAAGTCGGCCGAAAGTAATAATCGGTAACGTTGTTGCCCATCCGATATTTATATTTGATATCAGTTTTTAGATGTTGATCTAGAGTCATTGATGTCGCCAACCAAACATTCGTAGCGAAACGTATGAATTCGCCTCATCTCATTCTCGTGGCTAGTGTATTATGTTATGTTGTAAAGACAGGAGGCGAATGTTGCTTTAATGTTGTTTGAATTTTAGGTGAATGTAAACCCCTATATCTTTTTACTACGATATTGTTTGTTGTTCGGTTGGTGAGGTGAATCTGAAATCGATTTGTTCATTAGTTGTTTAGATGTAGTGGCAAGGTGACTGTGAATATCAAATCGATTTTATCCGATTTAGTTCGGATGGTGACCACTTTGATGAGTTTTGATACATCAGATTCAAGCATACTGCTTAATAGAGAGCGTTTGGCGGGGAGTGTGGCGTAGCGGTGCATTTGGCATATTTCTTTGTTGGTTGTCACTCAGGACACTAAGAGATAAGCATTTTGTTTGCCATGCATGCTGAATGCTGCCCCGTGCCAAGCGTGACATTAAAGACAAATATTCCCCACAACAGCCCGGCTAGAATGGGCGGGGGACAAAACTTTTATCCCCCGATTATATCCACTGACAAGAGATAAAATTATCTTGTTATGTCAAACCAGGAGAAGTATATCCCTGTTTGACATAACAAGTAGACATATATCCCTCGTCCGTAGCATGGAGCCAAATGAAAGATAAAAAATTATGCTTTTTTGACAATTTTATCCTAGTTCATTGAACGTGGGTTGAAGTTTATATTCATACAAAAAAAATCTATCTAAGTCTAACTCTATCTCCCAATTTATCTACTGTGGATATTATATCCACCGGTGTGCCCATGCTCTAAGGGTAGATAAAACTAAGCGAGGAGATAAAAATTTTCTCCTTTCCCCGGGATAAAATTGTCTCCTGCCCATGCTAGCCCTGCAGGAGGCACATGTTAAACATTGAACGGGCTGACAATAATGATCATAAATGAAAAAAATAATAAAGATAGTAATTATATTATAAAAAGCTAACACATTTTCCACTTTATATCCATTATACTTTTAAAACCCCCATGCAACTAGAGTGGTCAATCTTCCATCATTGCTGCCTTCATTTGGCTAATATAAAATTACAAATGTATTTTCACTTTTGCAGGTTCATTTGCACAAAATTAGATCAGATCAGTATATTTCAGAAGAAACGGTAGTACAAAAAGACTCCAGTGATGATGATGAGAGCGCGCCAATCGACAGAGAGGAGGATGAGTTTGATAAACTCTTGCAGCAGCAGATTGACCTGGCAAGATCTACACCTGGGCCTGAATCTGCAAAAAAACCAGTGCTGGATAGTTCTATAATGGATAGGTAGGGGATTATATAACCATATATAAATACTGGATATGGGTCTTTCCCATAGCACAGGAAATTTGCCATAATTATCAGGCGATTGGTAATTGGCAATCGGGTTGACGAATACCATACCAGATTCCTCGCATTAACATTATTTTCCATCATCTGTCTTTGTGTTACTTTGTGTAACGTCTGGTATAAATGGAAGATTGCAACTGAATTTGAATTAAGTTACCTACTATTGTCCTTTATTAGTTTCTTTTTAATGTCTATGAAAATAAAAACAGGAAAGCTGTTTAATACTGATGCATTCCATATACAAAAATGAGAAATTCTTTTACTGGTAGGAAGACATTTCATCTTAATACTTGGGGTTGTTAAAGCATCTACATTTCGATTACTAAACGAATATGAGATTTAGGGAGTCTATAGGTCACAACCTTCACTTACACGTCAGGTGGATGTATCATTTGTCACCCTTCTATAAACAAGTTAATATTTCCCAAACTACAAACAGAAACTTAAGGGAAATTTATAACTTAATGCCACAATTAAAATAACGTAGAACAATTTAAATTAGCGTTAATTAATTATTTTTTTCAGGCCATCTTTCAATGCACCAAAAGCAACATCTTCTCCATCAATAAGCGATGAACAAAGAGAAAGAATGATGAGAAGTCGGAAATTGGCAGAGGAGAGGCGCCTGGCTAGACTTAAAAATAATAGTAATGTGTCAAATAATGCTTTAAGCAGTAATAAAGAAAATATAGTAGTTGATATTAATGAAGAAAACATAGCAGACAATAAAGAAGACGATCAAACTATGGAGGAAAATATAGAAATGACAGTAGATACAGATGACATACCAGTAACTAAAAAGCATAATAAAACAAATGTCATTGACAGTTCAGACGACGAAGACAATGTGATGCATGTAAATGAATCTGTTGCAGTAGATGTCCATACTGCCGTTACGAATGGAAGTAATAGTGTACTGATAAGTAATACTAAGTTTGTTGAAGAAAATAAAACAACTAATAATTGTGATAATATTAGTGATTTAGGTGTTATGACCGTGGATAATATAAGTAAAGATTTTATAGAAATACAAAATCCAGACAAAGAAAATCATTTGTTTGATGAATTGAAAAATACTTCAAACAATGACAATAATGGCTTAGTTAATAATGAAGACAATATCGAAATGGAAACAACGAATGCAAAAACAAATTCAAAAAACTTCAATGATAATAAAGAACTAAGTAGTATTAACAACAATACTTCTAGTGAACATCGAGTAGAAGATGATAATCATGATAATCCTGAACAAATTTATAAGCCAGTAGAAAAACCAATGGTTGATCTAGAACATACTAAGTCCATTGAAAATACAGTTGAGCCAAATGAATGTGTAACACCAAATGAAGATATAATGGAATCAACCGAGAACAAGCAGGATACAACTAATACAGAAAAATCTACTGGAACGGAGGAATTTAAATCAAAGGAATCAGATATAATGCTAATTGGAAATGAGGAAAAAAATGACGTTACGAAAGATCTTGGTGATATTATGGAATTAGATTTTAGTGAAGATTTCTAATTAAAATATGACGGTTTTTTATTGTTGTTATGTTATTATTAATTTATAAAATATTATAAACGTATAAATGTGTCATTCTCATTATTTTTTTATCATTGAAGTGCCTATAATACACTCTGAAGAAATTTAGAAGAACGCAAAACCAAAATATCCTGGATATTTGTACCATTAAGTTTTTTGATATTGCTTAATATTTTTAACTTAAAATTGCTAACGTCAAAAAAAATAAACGATCAAAATTTACGTGAAAGAAACATTTTTGTACTTAACATATTTTTTTTTATAAACGCTTAGGAAAGGCTTTATTTATCTCTTCTAATCATCAATATTCGAAAAGTTTTCGCCAGCCTCAGAGCTCTCGTGAAGATTCCGATGCAAACTGTCACAATTATCGAAAACAAACGTCAAAGAAGTACGGTCACGCCCCATAGAAAAAAACCCAGACCCGACAGAAACGAGACATATCTCAGTTTTTTTGTTATTTATTATATAGTTAAATTTTATATTTTTTATATTCAATATTAATGGCTAACTCCAAAATATTGCATTATGCTTTTGTTCAGGCGTTACTCTAAAAAAATACAAAAGCCTATTTATCTACAAAATTCGTAAATGCATGTAACTAAATGACTATACAATAGTTATGGGATGTATCTAAGTGACCTTTATCCGAACGTTAAATGTGAATAGCGTTTATTGGTTTCGGTGCGAGAAGTTATCGAATCCGAGTCGATTTCGCTTTCCGAGACGATTGTGAATAGCCCGGCAGGAACAATTATTTATAGGCTACACAAATACTTGTTCTGTGCGGGATTCGAACTCGCGGCCCTTAACGCTGCAACTCATTGCTAAATAATAATAATAATAGTCATTTATTTCAGGCTTTTTTACACCCATTACAAATATCAATAAATGTTAAAAACAAAATGAAAATATAATTATAAAGATACAATAAATAAGATAAACAAAAGACAATTCACTTAACAGTGGTAGAGCTAAGCGGTAGCTTTTGCTATCGCACGGATGGGCCAGCTCGAACCGGGGTGGTACCACGACCTCACAGAATACCAGCGTGAAGTAGAGGTTTACCTCTGCTTTGCGCTTGGTGAGTGCAGGTGGCCGGAGGCCCAATCCCCCCCCCCCCCCCATCAACATGGTAGTGGAATTAAATAAAAGACTACCCCAGGAGGGTACCAGCACCCCTGGAGAATCCCTCGCTGAGCATCCACGACCAAACTACTTCACTCCTGAGCGTGGGTGCTCAGATTGCCCCGCGTATTCGGGGGGGGGGGGGGGCAAAATTCCGCTCGCGCCTAATGCTGCTCGGGGCAAGCGGAGCAATACAACCAAGGCGACCCCTGTCACGCTATCCGTGAATTTTTGCAACATCTGGGGACTTCATTCCAACCTTAACGCTGTCCATTACCATCTAGAGGCGGCGAAGCCGGCCTTGCTCTTTTTAACCGAGACTCAGGTGTCCTCTCCGGCCGATACTTCATATCTCTCCTACCCGGGGTACAAATTGGAACACTCCTTTGTGCCCCGGGCTGGAGTTTGCGTATACGTCAGAGAAGACATCTGTTTTTGACGCCTCGGCAGTCTTGAAGGTACGGACCTGTCCATCCTATGGCTGCGCGTAGACAGCAACGACCATCCCCCCGTCTACGGGTGCCTCTATAGGTCCCATAGCGGTAATGCCGACACAGACCGACTCATCGACCACGTCCAAATGGCTACAGACTCCGTGCTACAACAGGTCCCATCCGCAGAGATCATGATACTCGGTGATTTTAACGCCCACCACGCTGAATGGCTTGGTTCTCGTTTAACCGATCATGCGGGTAGATCTGTCTATGACTTTGCTTTGGCATATGGTCTAACACAACTGGTTACTTCGCCTACGCGGATCCCAGATGTGGAAGACCATGTACCTTCCCTTTTGGACCTTCTGCTGACCTCTCATCCGGACGGATATCAGGTCTCCGTCGATGCTCCTCTGGGCTCTTCGGACCATTGTCTGATCCGGAGTACGGTGCCACTCACGCTCCAATCGTAGATGCGATCTGCAGCTTGCCGCCGTGTTTGGCACTATAGGTCAGCTGATTGGGACGGGATGCGGTCTTTTTTTGCATCCTACCCTTGGGGGCGGGTTTGCTTCTCGCCGGAAGATCCCAGCGTTGTTGCCGATTCTGTTGCTGATGTGGTACTTCAGGGTATGGAACTTTTTATTCCATCCTCTGTGGTGCCACTCGGTGGCAGATCCCAGCCATGGTTTGGTTGCTCCTGTAAAATAGCGTCACGCTATAAGCAGGAGTGCTACCGGGCCTGGGCTGACGCATCAACGTCTTGGGATGTAAACACCAGCGCACTTAAAAAGAAGTATAACTCCGCCTCCAGGTCCTTAAAAAGCGTCATTGCCAAGGCAAGGTCTGAGCACATCGGCAGAATTGGCGAGAAGCTAGTTCGCCTTCCTTCGGGAACCCGTGCATTCTGGTCTCTCGTCAAGGCTGTCCAAGGGAACTTCTGTCAGCCATCTCTTCCATCTCTGCACAGAGAGGACGACTCACTGGCCCATGCCGCAAAGGAGAAAGCCGATCTGTTGAGCTCTCTTTTTGCGTCCAACTCGACTCTAGATGACGGGGGGAACACACCGCCGACCATCCCGCGATGTGAGTGCTCCATGCCGGATGTGCTGTTCTCACAGCGCTCGGTTCGCAAAGCACTCTTCTCCCTGGACGTCAGCAAGTCGAGTGGGCCCGATGGAGTCCCTCCCATTGTGCTGAAGATGTGTGCTCCGGAGTTGGCACCGGTTTTAACGCGTCTTTCCCGGTACTTCTACTCCCAAAGCGTAGTCCCGAATTCATGGAAGACAGCTTTGATCCACCCGATCCCTAAAAAAGGCGACCGCTCAGACCCGTCCAACTAGCGGAGAGCGGTTCGAATCGTCGACGACCGAGTTCTATCTGATCGGCTCGATACACTGGCACTGGGTAGAGATGTTGCATCTCTTTGCGTATTTTATCGCATCTATCACGGGGAGTGCTCTGAGGAATTGTTCGGACTAATTCCAGCCGCTCAATTTCACCATCGCACATCGCGACAAAACTCGCGTTACCATCCATACCATCTGGATGATTGGCGGTCCACCACTGTGCGATTTAGAAGAAGTTTTCTCTATCGCACAACTTCCTTGTGGAATCAATTACCACCAGCGAATTTTCCGGACCGATACGACGTAGGAACCTTCAAGAAAAGAGCTTACACCTTTCTAAAAGAGCGGCAACGCATCTGCAATTCCCCTGGTGTTGCGGTTGTTCATGGGCGGCGGTAGTCACTTACCATCAGGTGAGCCGCATGCTCGTTTGCCCCCTCTTCTATAAAAAAAAATTCAACTGTAATCATAGGTTAATACTAAAAATACTAAAATTGCCCCCAAAAGGGAGTTCGTTCTATCTATTTACAGATATTGTCGCGATGCACGGCACGCTAATATTGTGATCTAATAACGGCGAAGTAATCGGGCACCCCGGCGTTGGCAAACATGCTCGACGCACTGCAGTATTTAGGCAGTTTCATAAGAATGCGGAATGCATTATTATACTGCACTCTAATGCTGCTACGTGCATTTTTTGTACTGTCCAACCAAAGCTGACAAGTATAGAAGCATTGACAATATGCTCTAAACAGGGTCAGCCTTGCCTTGGGACTGCACCGCGTAAACCGGCGTGCGAGCATTTTACACCGCACAGCCAGAGCCCTCAGTCAGGATATGCCCCAGGTATCTGAATAGACTCACTCTTGCAACAGCTTCACCGTCCAGAAATGCTAACGGAATCCTATCTAGGCCTCTGCCCGAGTGAAACACCATCATCTGCATTTTATTAACATTACACCTCAGGCCATGATCCCGCGCATAATGCATATGACTAATAACTTTCTAAGTCCCCTGATTGAGGGACTCAGTAGCACCATGTCGTCAGCGTAGCTGAGATTATTCAGACAAATTTTACCCATGTGACAACCAATTTTTGTACTTCTAAGTTCCTCAATCAGGTCGTTTACGTATAAGCTAAATAGATCCGGAGAGGTCAGCCCACCTTGACGTACGCCACACTCTAATGTATAATCGTTAGATATGGCGTCGCCCCATTTCACAAAGTTTGTCTGGTTCCCGTACCAGTATCTCAACAGATCCACAGTCTTTCTGGGTACATTTGATGCTATTAGTTTATGCCATAGTCGCTGATAGTTAACTAGATCAAAGGCGCGACTAAGGTCTAAAAAGCAAGCATACACAGGTGTACCTCTATTTATATAGTAGTTAACTGTCGATTTAAGACTAGGTTAATTTCTTCATCATTTCTATTGCCCCAGCGAACACTGAATAACGACTTATCTTCTGTTTACCTAGTAATTCTTTTTGGAATAATATTTAATACACACGTTATTAAGAGGGGATAATAGTCAGACCAGTACACTCCAAGATCCACACACGTGGAGGTGACTGTAGGACGTGCAGCAGCCGTCACTATGCAGTGATCTAACCAACGCTTACCACCACTGCTGTCATTTACATGCGTAAAAGTGTCCGAGCCTAAAATTTCTTTATCAACACGTATCAGTGAGTGATCTACACAAAAATCTAAAAGTTCGTTTCCGAATCTGGTACCTAAATGTGCATTGAAATCGCCTAAGACGTAAATAGCCTCAACATCAATGTCACTAATAACAGCTTCAATGTTACCCAGACAACATATGAAGTCCGCTAAACTGTCTTCACTTCCACCGTCATATGGTAAGTAGGCACTCATCACCAGAATATGGCGTCCGCCCAACTCAATTTGCACAGCCGCTAATCTATCACAGGTGCAGTCTATGATTGATACGTTAGGAAACAAAGACTTACGCCACATCAATGCGAGACCCCCGTACGGTCGGCCTTTTACCACACCCGCCGAAGTATCCACTGCTGACTTAGCGAAACAACTGAAGTCCTCACT